AATACTCGCAAGAGCGTGTTTGTTCGATTTTTCAAATAGTCGAATCTTCAAATAAATGCAATTATTCAATTATTGGAATATCCACAATTTTTGAAACACTGACATACGAATATTCGAGTTCGAATAGTTTGGAACTGACATTTGCATGATCGTTCGAATTCTGCGGAATCATCATAATCAATCGAATCATCTATCTTCGAAATGTAAAAAGTTTGATTGAGTATCTGCAAAAACATGGAATATGATTGAGATTACGTAATTGTGTTTGACTGATATATTCGATAACTCGATTAGCCATGAATACTCGAATATTCAAAAAAACGCACCTATTCTGTTATTAACATATTCAAATATTTGGTCATGCCCAATTATTCGTTCATTCGAATAGTCGTATATAGAGGATCCCACTATTTGAATACTCGAATATACTTTGAATAGCGATTCGAATTATATTCATTTGCTCTAATGTTTTTATTACGAAAATTCGATATTCGTTTATCCGAAAAAAATTTCGATGTTTCAACTATAGTTGTAAATATCAAGTTTCTTGAAGCCCATAGTAGACAAGCCGGCGTTTTTGCCTTGTGTTGGCTTAAGTTGTTCTAGTTCTTTAAGACACATTGAAGGTTTGAAATAAATTACTGAATAGTGCTTGAGATTCCTAGTATCGTAATCTCTTCCTTAAAATTTAGAATCTTTTTCTTAGGGAGACACCAATATTGAAAGGCCTTAGCTGGTATGCAAAACCTGGTGAAACTGTAGCCTTTGTAGGAAAAAGCGGCTGTGGCAAGAGCACCAGCGTAAGTTGGAAAAGTTCCTTGAAGGTTTGGAGGAGTATATGAAATTGCTCAATACCCTAATTTAGATAAGCCTATTAACCCGGCTCTACGACTGTGATAAAGGCACAATGACTCTCGATGGTCGTGACATTAGATCACTCAAGTTGACACACTTAAGAAAGGTAAGGATATTTGTGATATTCGCTTAGGTACCCTGGAAACATACTATAAAAGACGTTTTTTTAGGTAATAGGCATTGTGCAACAAGAGCCTTGTCTCTTTAACGGCACTATTCGTGAAAACATTGTGCTTGGTCGAAATATCAGTGACGCAAAGGCAGAAGAAGCTGCACGCATAGCCAATGCACACGATTTTATCCTAAAGTTGGAGAAGGTAGTTTTAAATGATGTTTTCTGGAAGCAAAAAAAGGAACTTTCCGAAACAATATTACCTTTCCTCACTCTTGTTCGTGTAAAGCAATTGAAGTGCATACCCTAAATTATCATTTTCGAAGCTACATGGAAATTCAGGCGGCTACTGAAATTTTGAAAAAAATGCTTCTCAACTAACTGTACCTTTTGTATTCAAACAATCCGTCCGCTCCAAAACTTTCGTATATTTGTTTACGAAAGCCATCACCCAGTAAGTCATCGACACTTCATTCGCTCTTTCCGATGGATCTGCCTTCAAGGCACTCATCAATAGTGCAGGCTTTCACCAAACCTTCACATATAATCTCGAATAGCCTTGCTTACTAGAGTTCAAGTAAGAATTGTTTAATTGTAGGATCGTATCTAGAAAAAA